AGAAATATGTACACTGCATGAAATAAGATACCGCAGATAACACATCAGTGTAAAATTGGCCAGCAACAAGGCCAATTTAAATAGCAAGGCTAGTCCCACATTTACTACAGATGAAGAACACAGGCTGGGGCTTTACTACAAGAATTAAGATACTTCAGTGTAAACTTGGTGAGTGGCGGGACAGTTTTAATCAGGGGAAAAAGGGGGCATTCTGTTTTACTACAAGCCTGCAGATAATACAATAGTGTAAAATTGGCCAGCTGCAGGTCAGTTTTGCAAGCCTTACAGAATTTGGATAGGACAGCACCTAAAAGTGACTGCTGACAAAAAAGTCCCCCAATAATAATAACAACAAAAGGCAGCAAAGACCTAGCAAAGGCCATGCAGTGCAATATGATAAAAAAAAAATCTTCTGAACAAAGTTGTACATCAATTCCTTAATACCTTAAATCTTGAACCAGCGGGATATGCCTTAACACATGGTACTGGAGAACCAGAACCTCATCCCTACCATCCATCATGCAAGTAGACAGCTTCTTCATTAGGGTCTATGAAGAAAAGGCTATGGATGTCCAATGACAAGAGAAACCCTACCTGGCAGAGTATGGCATTCGGACAATGCCACCCGTTGATCTGAGGTCTGTAGTGGGCTTATACAGTAGATTTCTTGCAGTGTGAGCAGTTGGGTTCACGGTGTAAATAAGCATTCTTAATCTTTAAGTCAATTGCAGCTCAATGGTCTGGGCCATTCATTTTTTTTTCTTTCTCATCTTTCACTTAAGGTCAACCTTAAAAGTATAACTAAAGGAAAATGTTTCTTTATAAGTTTTGTATAAAGTGATGAGGGCTTAAAACCTTTGTCTATGTACCTGCTAAGGAGATTTATGCTCTCTGTTTGTCCTGGTGGCTATAGTTACTGGAACTAAAAGTGAGGGAAAATCTAAAATTTTATGTTGCCGCCAGAAAAGAAATAAAAGGGGAAATCTTCTAATGATGACACTTGTTCTAAGAGAAGATTTAACTCACTCTGAAGAGTTTTCCTCACTTCCTGTTGCCAGGGCTGGATTAAGAGCATCATGGGCCTAGTGCTGTCAGTCATCTGGACAGGAAGCAGCAAAGGCAACTCTCTAATTAGTCAGCTACCTGGGCCCCAGCGAGCAGCCTCCTAATATGCCTGATTAGAGAGCTGCCCGGACCTCTGCCTGATTGTGTTAAGCTCAGCCGGCCCGGATTGCCATTGGGCATACTGAGGTGATCCAGCCCAGCCAGGCCTATTTTCAATTCTGCCCCTATGCTAATCTGGTCCTGCTTGTGTGTCTACAGAACAGCAAGTAATGGGCAAATTTCTAAATTGCCACACAGATGGCAAAAAAATTGGGCTTTTGATATACCGTAAGGAATCTTCTTGCAGTGCCCTTTTTATTTGGTTTTATTTTTCCTTTCCGCATGCCTTCAGACATTCAATGACACTTCAGGTCCTTGAAGAGGACCTGAACTGTTAAAGGTGTGCCTCTAAAAGGAAGCAGAGAGCAAAGTACATGTCAACAGTATTGCCTGTAGGCTCCTGTAATGCTCACTTCAGTACAAGTGGTTAGGGAATATACAGTAGCTGGCTAGTGTAGCTTCAACAAATGCAGCCCCCATTTCCTTAAAGTCTATTTCCAGTTTTATCTTTTATTGTGGTAATGAAGAGGTGCAGTGTTGATGTACTAGTGTGCACATTTTCATGACTCACATTTTAGGCTTTTCTCATTTTTTTAGTGAACCTCTTATTAGGCCTTAAGCCTAAAAATTCAACATTTTCTCCACAGGAAAATCAGATACCAGGGTTGGATAGTAATTAGGCTTTAAACAGCTATCCCCCTCCCTGTTATTCATTGTAACATGATCAGTGAACAACAGTTCTGCCTTTGCACACAATACACTGCCTGGGAAGAGGGGGGCTGCCACTCTGAATACTAATGAATGGGAGAGGTGAGAAGGAGCTGGGAAAACACAGGCAGACACTGTTACTTGAGGAGATGAAGAGGAAAGCTAACAAAAAAAAAGTAAGTGTGTGAGTTCTTACACAGCTGCGGCATATGCCTGTTTCATATACACTCAGTGTACATGGAATATGTTTGTTTTTTTAAATACCTCTGCAAAGGTGGAAATGGGCTTTAAGGCAATCAGGCCTACCCATACTTGATTTCCCCCTGGACTTATGACACAATGCTATGTTCTCTGGCTGGATTGCACGGGAGGCTGAGCAAAAGTAAAACAAAGAGTACCTGCAGCACAGAAAGATACAGATGTCCTCAGATGATGGCAGGGTGATTTACCTTGGCACAGATTCACAGAATAGATAAAGCAAAAACAGGGAGATCAAAGCATTGCATTTCCTCAGACACAGCTTTCTCTCTAGCAAGGGAAGAGTGAGCAGCACAGTAGTATCTCAAACTCCATATCTTATGAGACTAGCAGTCAAAGGCACAGTGTCTATCACCAGCTGATATACAACTATGAGGTTGCAGAACAGAAGTTATTAGTCACAGGAATTGTACTGCTATTTTTCAGGTGGAATTAAAAACAAAAGGTAGATTTTTAAGAGCTACTGCTCAGACACGATTAACAATTCTAGATTGTCCCTATAAGATAGCAAATCTTAACTTTTTGCATTCAGGTTTATTTTAAATCAACCCTGAAAAGCCTTCTTTCAATAGCTGTATTAGATTAATTCACTTGGTTTTGCCTACATTCTCCTGCCTTTAAACTGTTATCCGAAACTGAAACAATAGGAGATGCAATTGCCAGATCTGTGTTTCCTCCTTTACTTATCTCTTTTCCTTTTTAAATGCAAACTCTTCTACTGATAGGATTGAAGAGCTGCATAAGAGCTGCATAAGCTCTATATAAAATAAACATACTGATTATACAAAAAATAATCCTGACTTTTTGACACATTAGCTATTGTAAGGCAATAAAGTAAAACAATCAAGTATGTTAATATAACATATTTTCGATCGCAATCTATTAGCAACACTCGACTCAAAAGTCGACTTATATGTCTTCTGACTCACTTGTAGACTTCTACTTGTCTTTAGGACTTCAGTGGTGAGATTTCCTTGCGATAGTTCCTGTTTCTGTTCATGCTCAACTTGGAAATCTGGGTGTTCCCACCTACCAGAAGGTGTTTTCATTCCTAATGCTGCATCATCTATAGTATAACATAGATAATCCAGAACTCAAGTTGTGCATCACTGAAAGCCAAGCACAGAGACTTTTCCATTGGACTGGACAATAATGTGTAATCTATCAAAAAACTTAAAGCTAAACTCTAGGTGCAGGGCGCAAATGAATGCAGCCCTGTATTATTTAATACCGTGTATGTGAACCCTGTATATTCTAAAACATTTTAAGAAGAAACAACAATAATTACTGATATCTTTAAAAAAATATGTTTACTAGCAGCAACATGTATTCTGGGCACGGATTCATGTAGCTTCTGAGTTGAAGGCAGGAATGGGTGAAGCAGGTGGCGTGTCATCAGCCTTGTGACCATGGGAGTACAGGCACGCCATGCATAGACACAACATCCTGTAACTCCTATTCAGAAGGTAGAGATGAAAACTGACCACGCTAGGACTGATCTGTTTCTGTGCCTAGTGTGGTCAGAAGGAAACAGGATGCAGGCCACTAGCAGGATCACCATGTGTGTTCTAATGTTTTTTTTAACAAAAAGGACTCACTAAGTAAATTGTTGGGGACAAAGAAATCTAATCCTTGTACATTATGGTTCACATACACTTCAAATACATCAAATGTTTTTTGTTTTTTTAATGCAAGCAATGTAAGCACTTGAATTTGACGTAGTTTCAACCTCTTGCAATTATCTGTATAGCAGAACTCAGACTGAAAAAAGGAGAGGCAGCACATGGAATTAATTAGTTGTACTACAGTGCTTATGTACATTTTACCTAATTGGAGCAGATAACATTTTCCTTCCCTGCCAGACAGGATTGTGTTGTGTGACAGAGCTTTGTAAATCCCAAAATTAAATAGACAGAATTACAAATTTCTTGGCCAGGTAAAATGGCTCCCATATATGTATTTCATCTGTTCATTTAGCTGTTTTCTGGAGATTAGCTTCAACTTTAAACTCTAAACAGACTGAAAAATGTTTCTATAATGGTATTTAGACATAATTTACCCATATCTGCTCTTTTGTACAGAGCTAAAAAATAATTTTAAATTAGTATCCTGTAAGAGGGATAAAAACGTATCCTGATGTCTTCTAATCAGCTAGGGTATTGAGAAAAACAGTTTTCACTGCATTATAAATCAGCATTCTTACACAACAGCATTGACTCATTGGGGTTGATTTACTAACCTTATAAACACGCCACTAACAAATATACACCTCTGTAGTGTGTTCCCTCCCAGCATGATCTATTGGTGGAATCTATACACCTTTGTAGTGTGTACACACCCAGCAGGTGTGTTGTGCAAAGCCCTGCATTAATTACAAGGTGATGTTGTGTAAATTAGCTCTACATTGTGTTGCTTGCGTTGATGAATGCAGAAATGTAAATGCATGAGCTAACCATTTTTGTCGAAACTGTGAAGCAGCATTATATATGCACCATGTGCATGGTTTTTCCATACATGTCATTAGTGGAAATATGCTTTTAGAGACTTTTTGGTTGATAAATACGCTTTGCTGTGTAAAAATCACACGCACCTAGTGCGTGCGTGTGTTTAGGTTAGTAAATCACCCCCATTGCATTCCTTGAGCTAATGTCTTACATCCGGACCCTGATTGGTGCAAGGCAAAGCATTAGAAATGACATATGATTCTGTTCAGCTGCCTCACTCATCACAACAGAAGGGACATATTGATTGTGGTGTATTTAATTTATTATGTCTTGTAGTATTGACATCAAGCTGCTTCATAGAGACCTGTATTGTGATGATGTTATTGAGAGCAGTGGATAAAACAAACTGTTATTGTTTATTTCCAGCACTTCTCGAGAAACCCTTAAGCAAGAGGAGAGATACAGAAGCTTCACAAAAAGCAAAAATATTTTATAACTCATGTATGAATGAAAGTAAGTGACTTTACAAATGCCTGGCCTTGGAGATGGGTTGGATTACAGTGCATATGTCCTTAAATAAATGTGAAAACTGCCCCATGGTATGTTCCACCAATTTTCTCCCATTTCTCTTCAACCAAATTGCACTAATTGAAACAGCATGCTGTCCTCTCTACAGAACTATCAAAATGTGGTGCAGTTCACCAATCACACAAAGAGGAGATGGTTATTACCTGAGCTGGGATTTTTGTAACTCCTCCTTGTAGAGCTTGATGCTATTGAGTCTGACCGCAAATAACTAAAGGTTGTCTAACCAGAGAAGAATACATCCAACCAAGGGGGGCCCAAGGAAACATAAAAAAATACTCTGCTGCCTGATTATCTTATATTTACAATAATCCAAGGAACAGAATTGAAATAAGTATGCCTTGGCTTTGTGGTTGATCCAAATAATGTAATAGAACAAGTAATACTAGCTGGAAAATGGAAGTGGGACCACGGAGTCAAACTGTTTATTCAGTGGTTCTAAATTGTACAATCTCTTAGAATGAGAATTCAAACAGGTGACTTTATATAATACTGTGCTTTTACATTTACTAAGTACTAGAGTTATTTTATCACCAAAGAAAAAAAAAAATCTTTAGGCTAAGCTTAAAGCTGATAGATGATCCTGGAGAAGTAGACATTTTTGACACATTAATACTGTATATAAAGCATAAGGCTGCCGCCTGTCCGGTTCTTACCCACCCAGCTCAACAGTCTCTATTTAGTTTCCTTTTGGTGGTCTTGTTTTACAGGCTTGGCCAATTAAAATGCTGACTTAAACTGTATCTAAACAAAAAAATATATATTTTATAGTGCAGCTTTCCCAGCTTACCAGTCCTTAGAGGGTATGGCTGTATTAGTTTGTTTGAGGAGTTAGCTGTGCGGGGATGATTCTTTGAGAAAGTGATTGTTCAGTTGTTAGGTTGAGGTGGGATAGGCTTCCCTGAAGAGATGAGTCTTAAAGGAGAACTATGAGGTGAGTGCTTTTCATTCACCTCATAGTTCTAGCTAACCTGTGACAATGAGGCTGTCACAGGTCGGCTAAGTAGATTGGGAGGTGAGAGAACACATACCGGCGTTCGCCCACCTCTCGATCCTGTCACAGCCCTCTGCCGTGACAGGGGAGGGGCTGGATTTCCCCTCCCCGCCACGATCCGCCAGCACTGACTGGCGGATCGGACGGGGGAGTGGGCGGGTACAGCTGTCTCTGCTTCTAGATAGGCAGAGCCAGCTGTCACTCACGCAGCTGGGCGGATCCAGACATAATTGTCGGGATCCGCTTCAGCTGCGGCGTCTCAGTATACCGCGAGCTGTAGCTCGCGGTATACTGAGCTTAGGGTGACGGGAGGACGCTAGTTTGTGTCCTCCCGTTACCCTAAGGAGAACTATGGGGAAAAGCCTTAACCCCATAGTTCTCCTTTAAGGGAACGCCTAAAGGCAGCTATGGCCTGCTTTGGTAGCAGTTCCATCAGCAATTGGTTTAGTAACCCCTTTATAATATAAATATTATGCATACTTTTGTATTTTATAGCTCAAATAGAAGAAGCTGATATCAAACCTTTGATAAAACTACTGAAACAGTCCTCCCTTCGCTGGCCAGTGCTCGAGTCTAACATCGGAAGTGAAGGAAGGTGGTCAGAGAGAAAGTTCAACTTTCTACAGACTCTTTCAGAATTACGGGGGCAGTACAGTACATCAGTGTTCCTGCGTGTCTTTGTGGGGACAGATGACAAATTGTCAAATAACTTCATTATAAAGGTAAGACTTTCAGATGGAGTGTATCAGTGCTGCATTTAGTATCTTTGTTTTTGTTTCCTACAATCATAGTTATAGCTTCTTCTTTGTCCTCCTCTATTCTTAAAGCTTAACCAATTATTATTCTGAATGTGCATTATTATTGTTAGGCTTTACTGATACAATTTGCTATCTTCATCCCTAATCTAAGGTAATGCTTCCTATTTCTTGAACATATAAGAATAAAGCAAATCTGTATAGCCTAATAAAAGAATTGACAGCCATGGATTTGTTTTCATGTTGTCTCATATACAGGGCATTTCCACTTCCATCAAGCAAGTGGAGTATTTGCTTGAGTTTTATTAAAGACTGCCAAAAAGCTTAACATTGCTTAATTTTTTCTGGTGTATTGTTTTGGAGTTTGTTTTTATTGGGATAGCATTTCTTCTTTCATCAAGAAGCTGGAAACTCATTTGTTCTGAGACCTGAATGGTGTGAATCCTCAGAGTTAGACCCACACTGATTAGTTGCTTCAGGGAGGTTTTTGAGTAGTTTAAAGGCTGTCTGAGAATTTGGAACTAATCTCTATTCTATTTTTTCTGAGGCAGTGTAGATACACCCTTGGATCAATTCCTTCTTACGTTATTAAGACCATGATCCCAAAAAATTACTGTTCTTTATAGTATATGTAAAGACAAATATTTTTTTCTAGTTTGGTATCGGTTGGGAAGTGTTAAAATCCCTGTCAGTATTGTATTACTGGGAATATTCATTCTCTCTACTTGTGACCATTGTCACTGGGACAGAAAGTGATGGGAGGTCCAAAATGTTTTGGTTGTCACTGGAACATGAATAGAGGTTCTTCTCTATTCCTATTCTCGGGACAACTGTTTAAGAGGGGTTTCACTTTACTTTGGAGTGATTTCCTTTCACTTCTCGTTATATCTCTCTCAAATTAAAAGAAAGGAAATGTCTCCAATGGGACAAGGACAGCAAAATAAAAACCTGTATATTTTTAGTTTGAGGTATAGTTTAAAGTGAACCTGTGCATTGTCCAGGCAGAAAAAAAGCAAATAATTTCTACTCACAAATCCACCTAATAGTTGAACTCTGGGACCCTGGACATGCTTGACCCTTAGCTCTCTTTTCCCATCCACAATAAAAATGCTTTAAAAAAAAAAAGCCTCACTTTATGAGTAATTGATGCTTTTAATTTGGATTCGTTGGCTCCTTCTTTCAGGTTTACTTTTAGGTTTAAATACAAATTACATTTCCCATGATACCATGTGAATTTAATGAGGTCAATGTTGAAGGGGCTCAACACTGTTCTTCGTTTGCAGGCTGATGCAGATGCTTCCATCACTGTTCCACCTGTGGGTGGGTCTAATCTCCAGAGCACCCTGTTAAAACCACCCATAAGAGGAATGATGATGTAAGCACATCATCATGCTGCTTCAGGCACAAAGGGAGGAATTGCAAGGGTAGGAGGAGGGTAGCTGTGTCTCCAAAGGGAAAAATTAGTGACACCCAGTCGCACAAACCATAACATATCTATGAAAGGAGGCATACAGGTAATGTAATGTGAAGAAAAAACCCTGTAAAAACTGACTTTATATGTAAATGGACAGCATTTTTTCCACAAGGCTAGGAAGCACCTTGATAATAATATTGTGTCAAGTGTCACCACATCATGCTTGTTTTATAATTCATGTACAGAACATCCTTGTATAGTTCAAATGAATGCTCGATTGTGTCCAGAATTATTATTGGATTTGAATAGAGTGGGGAAGGGTTGAAACCTGCTTCAGGTTTCTACTACTCTCAGTGTCACTGTTGGAAAGATTTTGCTCTCACATCCCTCTGTCAGACTTTAATTGCTGTCAGTCTCCTTACTTAAACGAAATCCACTCACTTCATTTTCTAGTGCTAGGTGTCACAGGACAGGGAAAGAGGGGAGATCTTCTTGTAAGGAACGCAACGTACCTTCCCTGCTCCAGTGTCGCATCTCCTATGGCTTGTTTTGCCTAATGAAGGGGACCCTACATGGCCCCGAAACGTCATGTTATGTGATACTGAGCATGTGTCAATAAAGACATATTGATCAGCATTCTGGAGTGCCAGTGACCCCTTTCTTTCCCCTAGGGCTTGGCAGTCAGACTCACTTCAAAGTTTTACCCCAGTTGTCACAGCCATGGGCAAACATGCCACCTCACTTGGCTGCATTTTTAAAGGGCCAGCATACTTTATGAACAGATGACCACTCAATATTTGTCCACATTGGGGTTGAATTCCTCAAACCTTCTAGTGTGCCTCCTCTGTTCCTGGGCCTTCCAGCATCTTTGCCTACACTGCCTGACCCTTGCAGTCCATAAACACTACTCTAGCTACACTCCATCTGTTGCCCCTGGCCACTGGTTCTGTTCATGGTATGATTTATCTGCTGGTCCTGGTTGTTGCATTGTTCTTGGCATACTGCATCTGTTGTTTGTGGCAACACCTGTTGCCATTGCCTGTGGTATGCTTTACTTGTCACTCTTGCCCGTTGGCCCTACTCCCAGTATGCTCAGGGAGCACCATTCCTGGTACGTTCCACTGCCAACTCTGCTTGACCAGCCCTTCCTGCTGGTCACAACTACTCTTGGTACACTCTGTTCCCCAAATTTTGCATACAAAAGGTAATGGCATGCAGCAATTTAACAGCATCATCTATAAGTTGATTATTTACTTTTTTACTATACTATTGTATACTATACTATAGTATACAATACTATGCAAAGCCAATATGTGATTGCATTGGACTACTGTACATTACTGATCCTGGTACATACGTCTTAAATTAGTAGTATATTTTGAGTTACAATATTGCCTAAACATATATTTTATTTACAGTTTGATCAAGCATCCCTGTCATTATTATCCCATGAGGATTATCTTGACAACAGTACAACGGCAAAAAGGGTAAGCTAAACTACTGTGGTAACGTTTGAAATGCGATATATTTTAGGAAGTAAGGGTCCTGTGCTGCAATATTTTATAATAGCCAATATTTTAGACACAGAACCGATTGGACCGGCTCTGTGTCCTGTGATCGCTGTGGTTGGTTATCACAGCGATCACATGGCAAAGTTCACATTGCCAAGCCCTCCCCTTCCTCTTGCATCAGAGGCAGGGGAGAGTAAAAGAAGGAGTAATGAATGTATGAGTCATCCATTCGTTACTTTCCATTGAAAAAAAAGCTGCAGCAGCAAGAAAAAAGCAGAGAGAAAGAAAATTAAGAAATAAGGTTTCAAATAATTTTAACTCTTTTAAGCCCCCCCCCCCCCCCGCTTATGTTATCTGCATTCTGTCTCTGCTCTGACCTGTATATTAACCCTTTCACCTCCCTTATCCTGCACATCTATACCTTAACCCCTTCTTCTCCATCCTCCCACTGTATGTGATGTCTACATTAAGCCCTTCACTCTCTCCTCCCTATGTCTATGACCTGTACATTTATTGTATCTTGTGCACTATTACCAAGCTCCAATACCGGCCTGTTTCTTCATTGCTAAAAAATCAGATCACCTTGGAGTGTCTACTTTTTCTTCCCTTTCCGGTTTTTATCATGTCTCTCTTTCTCTGTTTTCTTTTCTTGTTACTCCCTCTTTACACCTTTTGCTACTTTTGCTTATTTAAGATGTAAAAGCTTTTCCTCAAGGAGGATTCTTTTACCTGTTACCTGGATTCTTCTTTTATATGTTTACTCAGATAGATGTGTTCTGTGGCTTGCATATTGTTGTCCTTTAGTGTAACTTTTAATGGATTCATTTTGTTTTGCAATCTTAACCTGTGGATGATTCTTTCTTATGCATCATCTGTATCGCATGTTAATTTTTCAATTCTCATCTGTTTGAGGATTTTCACAAAACAAATGGTGACTAGATACCACTAAAATAAAGCTTTATTTGTCCCCCAAAAATTATATAAAATTAATTTTGTTACAGTGTTGAGTGTTGGAGAAATTCAAAGGCAAACTTGCACAGGGCTGAAAAATAGCCTGGTAATGAAGGGGGTGTAATATGCTGGTACTGAAGTGGTTAAACTGGACACAGCAGCACTATGTGGCTGCAGACAACTGGATGATTGACTGTGTAAAGTTTGTGTGCGGCCAGAACCGCCAGTCAGAAGCCCTAGTTGCATGCAACTGGTGGTACAAGTGTTACATTTGAACAGCGCTAGTGCCAGTCATTGATTGAGGGTACATACCTAGAAGGGAGAAGCTGTTTATAGGGAGTCGGCTTAGCTTCTTTTTCAATGTCATTAGTTTTAACTTTTAGGGTTACTAGGTATTTTCTGTGTAATCAGAAGATTTTTTTCACCACTTTAACCACTTGAAGACCGGGATGTTGAACCCTTTTTTTCAGTATTCAGCACTGAGGTATTATGACTGCCATTTATTTTATCATGCAATGCCATACTGAAATACATTTTATAATAAATATAAAAATGTTTTCCCTATGTTACGTAATGAAACATTTCATTTTACCCAATTTTTTGCTAAAATATAAAAAATCACGTCAGGTAAATAGTGTCAGAATTAGCTGTGGACACACGCTGTCAGAGCCAATAGCGACAAGTTGTTTCACCTTTAGCAGCTGCCGTTCCCATAAGACAAGCATGCCTAACGGTACTCGGATGCCCCCAGGACTTAGACCTTTTGCTCTGATCAGGTGATGCCACAGGCTGGCCCCCAAGGAACAAAGGAGAAGTACTGACTGATGTCAAGGTAGGAGACAAACAGAAAGCAAGACACAAGAAATGAACAGGAAACAAATACCAGACAAGAACTAATACAAGATAAATACAGGAAACAAGACAGGTATAGGATTAAAGAGCCAAGGTAAGAATAGGTTACAAGATCAAGGCAGGACACGGCAGGACTGGGTTTCAGGATCAGGATACAGGCTTGTGTAGACAGAACAAGACAAGACAAGACTGGAGCTATCACAAGCCCAGAACTCTGGGCTTGTGATGGTTAAATAGAGCACCACTAACCAACCCCCAGACTCTCAGGGGTGTGTAGCCAGGCTGATTAGCCTGATCAGCCTGCAGCTGACTGGACTGTGGTAGGTACAATTACAAGAGACAACCACCAGATGGAGCTGTGTGGTTGCGACAGGAATAGGAGCATTTGACATGCTCCTAACAAATCGATACCAAGGTAAAACCTTACAATGCGTGCGCCCATAAAATCGTATATATGTAGTGTATGTGTAGCGCTCACCCCCGAAGGAGCCGCTGAGTATGAAATAGGTTCTCCTACCTGTTTGCTCCAGCCACCGGTCCCCTTTGTTTAGCAACAGCACACCGACACTCACGGATAGAATGGACTCCAGTCTTAGGGTCTTTTTGTAGATTTATTTGCAAAGATTAACAGGAGAGAGGTTTTAGGATCTATAGGATGCCCTGGTAAATTCTTCAGAGGACTGCTTCCTCTCCTAGCAACCGCTAAGGCCCATAGCAACGGGATCCGGTCAGAGGGATCAAGGGTTTCTTTACCAATACTGTGAACAGCCAGGATGGTCCAGTAACTTATATGAAGAAGGGTAGCTATCTCTGGACTCAGGTAAGGACCTCCGACTTCTTCTAGAACAGACACCTGGGATAGGGTGAGGGATCTCTCTTGTGGGTCCCAGAATGACGCTCTCACCAGCTCCTCTGCGCTACCCCTCAACAAGAAGACTCCACCTCCGGCCCAGCTTCCATCAGGTCTTTCCTCAGAAGTACCTGGAATCTCTGTGCCCTCAATATCTGCCACTGCCAAGGAGCACTCCAGATTAGTAGTAGTATCCTCTTAGAACAAGGCACCCAACTCCTGCCACGTGTATGGGGCCCAAGCAAAGTTCCTATGGTGTCCTAGGCCTCTAGGCCCCAAGCACCTGCCATGTGCTGAGGCCCAGGCCTTTTTAAAATCTGCATCACAGAGACCTCCTAGGGAGAGGCCCCCAGGGGAAAGAGACCTCTGCACAGTGTCCCCAGACCTTTTATTACCTGCCCTCAGCCATACCTCTGAGTCATCCTACTCAGGGATTGGTCAGGGTCAGGTGCATAGTCATAGTCTGAGGATGGATCCTTCCTCACTGTATGCCAAGGCTCTCTTTTCTTCAGCAACAGGAGGAGCAATCGATCCAGCAGACTCAGGGACACCAGTAGAATGCAGAGCTCTGAATAATCAGTATCTAGACTGGTTACAATCCAGATATTCACTAGATTTAGTTGACATTTTAGAGGGCGCTACATATGTAAAGCCAAAACCGTTCTGGATAGAGTAGGGAAGTAATAAACAACCTATGAGGGAACATTTTTGCTGCCTGTGTTCCACTAAGTGGATTCCCCTTCACTTCCTGTCCAGGAAACACAACAGAAAATGAGAGGAAATCTCCAAAGTGATCGAAATCTCATCTTATAGAGTTGTCACAGGAAACGTGGCCCCATTTGAGGATTTTCCCTTATCTTTTGCTCTGATAAGAAAAGTTGCATTTTCCATCACTTTCTGTTTTTTTTTTTACAGTGGTCACCAGGACACATAGAGAGGTAAATCTCATCAGCAGGGACACAGGGAGCAATAAAACTTGACAGCACAGTGGCATAGTGGTTAGCTCTTCTGCCTTGCAGCTCTGGGGTCCCCTGTTCAAATCTTGATCGGGGATGCATGTTCCCCCTGTGCCTGTGTGGGGTTGCTCCAGTTTCCTCCCCCACTCCAAAGACATGTTGGAAGGTTAATTGACTCCTCTCTAAATTAGTCCTTTATGTATGCATGTTAGAGAGGGTCCTTATATTGTAGGCTCCTTAAGGGCAGGGATGTGAATATACAACTATGTAAAGTACTGTGTAAATTGTCAGTGCTCTATAACTACATGTAATAAGTAAAGAAGATGGTCTAACCCTTCCTCACCCAATCTAAAACTGAAAAAAATTGAATTTACATACACCTTAAAGGAAATACAGTATGTGTTGAGAGAAAATGGAGGCAGACATTGCTCTCTTCCTTGATAAAATTCTATTTATCTAGTCATTCTGCTGATCCTCTGACAATAAATATATATTTAGTCCCTGGCCTGAATAGTTATGAGGTTTTGGTTCGCTGCTACCATGGGATCAGGGCAAATCTTTGGTATTTGCATAGTTAGTGAATTGAGAATGCTTGCTGAAAACATCAAAGATTCGATACCAGAAATAAGGAAAAAACTATAATGCAATGATTAACCTTTGCCTCTGGTAAGCTGAGTCACAAAAGCCAATAATTTGTAGGAATGTATAACCCAGCCCCTTTCTATAAAAGGATGGGCTCACAGCAGTCATATTGTCAGTCTGTGTTGGAGCTTTTATGGAAACCTGACAATTCTATGTAGGGAGAGATACTTTTTTAATTTTAGCATTGGTATATGTCCCTTATGGTAGTGCCTTGCTCCTTGTGCATTTTGTTTGACAATAGCTTGCTTATTACCCTACAAATTGCCAGAATTAAACAAGATTCACCACTTTAGATTCAATGGGGTTTGTGGTAAAGTTTGTGAACTTTGAGCAATTTGCAAACTGAACCCAGGTAGATTCACGTATCCCTAGCTCCAAGCAAGTATGCAGTCAGTTAAGTTGGAACTCCGAATCTGCATACTTGATAGAGGCCAGTGTCTCTGAAAGTATTGCAATCAGTAGGACAGCATAACACACTGACAACTAGGATTTACAGAATGTGAGTTATAGCAATGTATTTCTTTCAAAGCAGGGTTCCTTTAAATGTAAGCATTTTCTGACCATATTAGGGGCCGTTCCAATGTTGACTCAAATTTGCAGGCAGGAACACAGATGAGCTTCCCTTGGTGCTGATTGTGGATGCCAGTTATTGATCCAGCTTTATATGCCATCAAAAGCACAAGGCAAGGTCATTCTGCATCCCATGAGCAAAAGTCCCATCTACTCTTTCTAGTCTGTTTAGCAGCAAATGAAGTGATTTTATTTCCTTGGGCCTTGCTGCAACACAAAGGTAGAATGCTGTTTTATTTGATTTTTATCTATCATTCTTTAGTTTACTTGAATTTTGACCTGTATTCCTTAATCCAAAGAACAGCTCGGCTACTTTTTATGCTTTTAGAACAATATTAAAGAAACATGATGTCTAAATAAAACATGTTTAAACCATGTAGACTTTAATAACATGGTAAATAATTGTTCTTTTTTAATGGTTTCAGCACAAAAACAATTGTGTGATAATGTTCAGCAATCAAACAAATAAACAGGAAACTAAATATATAGAAATAATTAAAAAAGAAAATGCAGGTTACTAAATAAAGATGAGGTGGTAAAACAATCAGTTGTTCTTTAAAATGTTAAAATTAATTTGCTTTAGTAATTCTAATCAAGTCTGAAAATACATTGTTGGACAGGATTTAGTCTTGTACAGCAGACATCAATTTGTTACCTATCAGTAGTATGTTTATGAATATCACACATGAGTAAAGAGTCAAACTAGGAGAAGAGTAATGACCCGCCTGAATGCAAAGTTGTCAGCTGAAAGGATTACCTTTAATTTCTGGTGGAACTCTCATTACAAATCACAAAACAAGATTCCTATATACATGTATAGTATGTTTGTTCCAGCACAAGCAGATCTGCTGGTGTCTGCTGCTGTCAATTGTCCAAGACTAGGGATCAGCTAATCTGCCTGGCTTTGGTTCACACACATTTTGCAAATGTTCTTGCACTTCCTGACATTTGCAGAAAACCCCACTGATGGTTCAATCTTCTTTTTCAATTATGGCAATTTGTAGGGCTAGTAAACAAGCTAATGTAAAATAAAAGGCACTGCCATGGGGGACACGAACCAATGCTGAAAAAACAATCTCACCCTACACAGAATTCTCAGGCCTTCCTAACAGCTCTAGCACACAATGATAATATGATTGCTGAGCCCACCCTTTTATCCATTATATTTATTGGTTATTGTGACCAGGGGGCAAAGGCTATGCTTTGCATTATCGGCTTTTCTTTTTTTTTTGTGGCAAACCTACAACGTTTTCAGCCAAATGTTTAAGATTTGCAAACATCGATGATCATCACGCACCTGTTCATACTAGCACTGGTCTACTATACGCTAAAGCAGTCTGGTGTTTGCAGTTGATTTAAATGGTCTGTGTTTTGCACGTCAGTGGGTTTGGGTAGAGATAGACTTTTACCCTGAAACCTAGTAAGCACCAGGGAAATGCTTGATTGCTTAGTGATGGTTTCCTACTGCCCCCGCTGAGCAGATATTATAATTCTTGGTGTGCCGAATAGCATCTCCCCTGCTGGGTGCCATAGTTCCTCCTACTAGCTGCTGAAATCTGAAGAGACATGGCAGCCTGTGGGAGGAACCATGGCACCCAGTGGGGGACATTCAATCTGTCACAACAAAATGTTGCATAACATTGGCACTGCTAGCTCTGCAAGTGGGTGAAGAATGGTCTTGGTGCCTCCCAAAGAGATATTTTGTCAGAGAGAACTGACAAGGTCACTTTAGGAAACCCTTTTTGCGTGCTGTGGATAACAGGTTCAGTTTTGCTCCATTTTTCCTAAATCAGCCCATCTGTGCTTTACTGTGTATATTGGGTGCTAGCATAGTTCTGCAGCAACTGCAATGGTTCTACTGATTGATGTAACTTTAATTATTAATAAAGCATACATTTTCACCCGGCACACCTAAAGTATATTTCAAATGTCAATAGATCATTTGGGATCACAGATTTAAAAAAAAAATAAAACACATTTCCTTTTGCCATTTAAAATGCAGTTAATTTGATAAAAGAAAAAGATTAATGGTAGTTGAAAATGTTTCCAGTCATTGTAATCAACAGTATCTTTCAAACCCTATGACTGTATAAATCAGAGTGCTTTTATCTGATTGCATTTGTTCATTGTAGCTTAGTACAAGTCATTCAAAAAACTCTTTTGTAGTTGAAAAATGGCCTTGGATGAAGCAAAGGAAAAGATGAAGGATCTTTATATCTTAGTCAATACTGTCAAAGGAAAAAGTGTATATTCAATTGCAAGTAGAGTTTAAAATCCCAGGAAAGTCTTTTATCTAAATGTATTAATTTATTTATATTACTATGCTCTCTCTACATGTAAAACCCACTTTAATTCTCTATAAATTATATCAAACTACAACTCTAGGAGAAGAATAATATTTAACGATAACAATATTATTATTATTATTATCAACAATAACCAACAAACAACAAGAAGAACTTTTTTTTTTAAATGTATGTAAGCCCTAACAATTAACTTCCTTTATTTGCTCCCTTTTGGTCTGTTGATTATGCCACTAAAAGTGTTTTGTTTTAACTGTTCAATAAGTGTAAAAATATACCTGTTGATTCTGCAAGAAAGTCAGGAGCACTCACTGCAGTGTTATATCAAATCGTCACATCAGTGCTGCCCTAAACACTCTGTGAACTACAGAACACATCCTAACTAAATCATAAAGATGAGGAGAGAATGGCATTCTTCAGTCCTAATTCTGTCAGTTAGGGTGGTATAGTAAGAGAACTTTGACACCCTAGCACAGGAATCACCAGGTCAAAAAATAATGGACAATCGTAAATTAATCTTTTGCTCTTGGGTTTGTATAAACTTTAATTGCATTCCCATAACTGATAAAAACTGAAATGTGGACTAGTGCACTTAGATTTTTTAAATTGTATTGTTTGATATTTCCCATAATATACAGAACCTCAATTAAAAGGAAATACAGGTAAAAGCAGGAAAATAGTAAGTAAAGAATGGTGGCCTTGGGAAGCGGGCTTTAATTTATAGTATAACTGGTCCTGTGATTGGGCTGGGGGCGGAACCATACCCATTGTATGCTGCCATGTACGGTGTGTCAGGAAAACATTTTCTATACATTAGCAGTATAAGAAAGACAGCCCACTAAAACAAAGAAATAAAATAGGGTGGAAACTTAAGGAAGGTGATATACATTCAAACAAGACAGAATATTTAAAGTTCAAAAGTGCAATTAATTGATTTACCGTGTGGTTTGATTTATTGCAAACTATTTCATCTGTAAAACAATTCTGTAACCAGGTCACATAACACTTACTTAGACAGTACCTAGTAACATGCAGCCATTTGTCATATCCTTTTGCTTACCTGTATCTTCCAAGTCTGCAGACTGGTGGCTAATTTCTTGGCAATAATTTTTTGAGCCTGTACACTATTATTGGGGTAACTATTCCTACAAAAGAGGCAGAGCTATTTTACCATACAAGAATTCAGTAACTTGTTTTCAAAGTCAAGTTATGGCATCAGGAAAGGGGAAGTCACCTACACGAAGACAGAAAGAGCCCACACCAGTCTGGCATTTAGGACAGGAATAGTCACCTACTAAATCTAGTAAAGTTCATAAGGCAGAGGATATGTAGCCAGTGTAAATGATAACAAGTCCCAAATGTAGGTTCTCATGGCCTCTGTCCAATCAGCATTGGACAGACCAACCTTCTGTTTATTTTTTAACATACACACACAGAAAAAGAAGAAATAAATATATATATATCTATATCTATATAGATATAGATATATATACATGAGGTGTGATAAAAAAATACAGTGAATGTTTGAATAAAAAAAAAATAATTACAGTAAAAAACATATTGCCATTAATCCTCCTCAAAATACTCCCCCTCACTCTGAACACACTTATCCCATAATTCTTGCCACTTTCTGAAGCAGTTCTGGAAGTCCTCTTTCGTGAGTGTCTTTAGTTGCACTGTCGTGGCTGCCTCGATGTCCTGAATAGATTCAAAACATTTAGCTTTTATGGTCATTTTGACTTTGGGGAAGATTGAGAAGTCGCATGGTGCTATATCCGGTGAATAAGGTGGATGAGGACACACCGTAATGTTTTTATTTGACAGAAATTGCCATACCAGAAGCATTGTGTGACATAGAGCATTGCTAATATGAAGGAAGAAGTCGTTTGCCCATTTCTCAGGCCATTTTCTAGGCACAGCATTTCTTAAATGCTCTAATAAGCCCTTGTAATATTCAGAGTTCACTGTAGTGTTGTAGTGTTCCTGGGTACAGGGTACTGGGTAGTGTTCCTTAGGATTTTGATGTTGAAGGACGTCCCGATCTCTCTTTGTTTTCAACCGATTCACAACCATTACGAAATCGCTTGAAACACTTGTAAACCATCTTCATGGTCACTGCACCATCACCAATTTTTACATTACTTGTGTTTCTTTAGTACTTTTTGCAGTTTGAAACAAATTTTCATTTGAATGCAGTGTTCGTGATCCATGATTTACGGCACACTTTAAAACACTAATAAGGTTTGACCTGCCGCTTCTTGTTTGAAGATCCCTGCCTTTCCATTGGATGGCACTCAGCAGCAGCATTCACCATATTTTTTGATCATCAGTGGATTTTCAGCTCACAAATGCATGACAAGACAGTGTGCATGAACATTTTTATTATTTTATTATTTTTAGTATTGAGCCTATAATTGTCCCTTGCATTCATCTTGTGGTTCATTTTCAAGTTTGATTGAAGTGCATCTTTATTATATGTCACATTTACATGCTTTTGTTTTTCCTTCCAGTACAGAGAATCCTTATTTAATTTCATGGTCGATATATCAGTTTTTCTTGGTGCCAACAAAACAAGGGCAGAAACTGATATGAAAGCATTGATTGACCTGGAAACTAAACTTGCTCAGGTAAGTAGTCATAACGTTTTATAAAATCACAACAATGCGCTTAGAACCAAAATACTGATGTTAAGAATTCTTGAATTGTATGTAAAGTTTTAGTTCAGGGAAACAGAGAAGGTTGAAACCTTTAGATTAGGTTAGATTTTAATTACTGTCTTTGTGTCTGCTGGCATGATCCACCCTCTCTAATTGTTCTGGTGACTATTATCAAGGGGAAAGAAAGTGATGAGAAATGCAAAATTGTATAGTGCCACCAGAACAGGAGGCAATGGGAAATCTTACTATTGGGACACCTGTTCCGGTGACGACTGTGTAAGGATTTCCCTGACTTTAGAGAGATTTCATCTTATTTCCTGTTATGTCTTTTGGAAAGGAAGTGAAGGCAGATCTTTGTGGTTGGGCACCAAAAGCAAAAAAACTGACTGAAGTTATAACCATTGCCAACTCTATCTTAAACACTCTGACTACAGATCTAGCTACAGAAACAATAATATAGTTGCAGCTATACTGCCAGCACTGTTTAAACTGCTATATATTTACAGTTATTCATATACACAGTCAGTCAGTGTATGTTGTAGACTTTGAACGCTAGGGAGAGATCACACAGTCTTTACAGGGAAAGATGGTTGCTGTCAATCTACCATTATACAGTGCTTCTGATTAAAACTGCTATATGTGCAGTCAGTCATGTATAGTATACAGTCTGTGTTACATACACTTACATATGGCACATTATAATATTTCTTGTATGTTAGTTTTTTGTTTTTTTTAATACAATACTGGATACATGCTTTTTATTTAATGGCATTATTTAACACCCCCCCCCCCCCCCATTTAACAATCAATTTTTTACAACGCACC